GAAGTTCAAAAACGTGCAAATGTGAGTAGATCAATAGGTACCGCTCCAGTGGAAAGGGAACGGATCTCCATGCAGTCATGCTGGCCTCATGACCTTGGAGGTGTCTACGACAATGCCGGCTCTTCGCCTTAGAAATGGAGTTGAGCACCACCCCTCAGAGTCGGACATAACTAGACTTAATGTCAGGGGAAACCTTTACCTTTTATTATATTTGTCTTTAAGTTTTTTCTTCTCTAGTTTCCTCAACTGTTTCTCATAGTGGTTGCTGGAACCCGTATTTACCCTTTTTTAAAAAACCTTTTCAGCTTGTTGATATTATTCCTAAATTGTGCCACCAAAAACTGGACACAGTTCTTCATGGCTGAGTGAGGATTTGAGCCTGTATATCCCTGTGGGCCAAGAAAGGCAGTATATAAATACGGTAAATAAATAAATAATTTTGCTTAGCAAAACCTGTTGAAATTCATGGGGTTTTCACAAGTCAATAAGCAATTTGAAGGCATGGATGCACATATAAAAACAGAGTGTGGACCCTGATGAGCTTTCACCAGGAAAACACAACTTCACACAAATCTTACTTTCTCCAGTATTAGTTGACTCCTCAGTTGACCCCCGTATTGGGGGTTTTCTCCAAATTATCCAAATGACACTCTATTCTGGTATCCGTTCTTATAACTGAGCTACCAGTAGCTCCTAGATTATAAGGTTTTTTAGTGCCTTTATTATTTGTTTCTGGTTGTATCTTGCTTTTTATGTGATGTTATTGTATTCTAAACATTGTTTCATGCACTGCACAGAGACTTCCGCTTCTTAACTAGTCAAAAAGAGTGATAAAAAATAATCCATCATTCTGACAACTTGGGGCCTGATCTCTTGCCATGCCCCCCTCGAATTCAGAGAGGATATTCAGGATATTCAGAGATGCTTTCTTTTTGGAGACTGGATGAGGAGCTTAACTCTCCAACCTCTTATATGGCTAGTGAAGCCAGTCAGTACCAATTAGATAATTGATTCATCACAATATGATTCAATCCGATTGCCTGTAATTGATGCTTCCACCAAGCATTTTTGAGGCAGGTCCATAATGAAAGAAAATATAGGCTGTTTCTCTCTTTAATACCAGCGTTAAAGTGACGAGTGTAGGGAAACAATTAGATCAGCTAAATGGACATCCATAGCATGATGCTGAAAGTATGTCTCTTTTTAAAATATTACCGGAAGACTAATTTGAAAGGAGGGGAAGGCATTAGTCCACCACTTAGGACACAGCATGTATATGTATCCTTCACCCCTAGCTGTGTTTTCATTTAAAAGCTTCTATATTTGGCAACTGGATGTCTCTCAACACTAGACTGAAGCAGCCCCTCCCCCCCTTGACTTCGTAATCTGTATAGCTGTTCGCCATAAGGGACAATTCTCAGAAATGCACTGGGGGGAAGTGAAAGGGGTTGGTGGCTATAATAGTCTGGTAAATGTTCTGGAAAAGATGCTCATTCAGATGGAAGAGCCAATCCTGCCACTAAATGGTGCTGCAGTTTGGCTCCAGGCTGCGACTAGCATCTGCGCATTAATGCAATTCATTCATCCTGATATTCTTCAGGAAGGAACTGTGGACTACAGTTCACTGCAGTGTAAATCAGATTTTGGGGAAGAGGTCTTTTTTTTTTTTTACTTCCCAGAATCTCCTAGGTTGGTGTTCGCATCACAATATAAATGTAAAGGTTTCCCCTTGACATTAAGTCTTTTCGTGTCTGACTCTGGGGGTGGTGCTCATCTCCATTTCTAAACCAAAGAGCCTATGTCATCTATATAAAGTATATGAGAGGATACTACTAAATCAATTAGGACCTCTTATTGAACCCCAGAGTATTGCACAACAAGCAGGGTTTAGACCAAGGAAAAACCGTACAGCCCAAATTCTTAATCTGACTGAGCACATTGAGGAAGGATATGAGAAAGGTTGCATTACTGGAACAGTTTTTGTCAACCTTACAGCAGCCTATGACACGGTGCAACATAGGAAAATGCTGCAGAAAGTTTACCATATTACCTGAGACTATGATTTTACAAAAACTGTCTAGACTCTCCTAGAAAACCTTATTGAACCCCTAGAAAACCTTCTAGGAGAGTCTATGCAGCTTCTACGTAGCTTCTATACCTGGCTATGTAGCTTCTACGCAGGGCCGTAGCCAGGATTTTGATTCGGGGGGGGGCTGAGTTTGATTCGCAGGGGGCTGAGTCTGAGTGAAAGAGGGTCTACCCTAGCAAACCTTTTGTATCATTACCCCAATACCCCCATGCATATGAGATATATTGAGCATGGTGATCAGATCATGATATGAATAAACATAACAGTTTAAATAATGTACCAGTAAGGCCTTCTCGCAGACCACCATAAGAATTTCGAGGGGGGGGGCTGAAGCCCCTCAATCTAAGAGGAGGCAACAGTGTGGTGGTTACACAAGCAATGTAATACATTTTTCTTTATCTGCTTCTAAAGCAATTGCCACCTTACTGTATGCCGGTTTCCAACATTAAATACCCTATTTCAGGTGCCTCTCAGTTTCAGAGTTCTGGGAAACTGGTCCCAGAAAAATATTCACAGATTCAGATCTTAGAAAAGTTACCTTCTACAATTGCAGGGATTGTGCAGAAGAGGAATGTTTCTGTATTCTGGTTTAAATATAATAAATTCTGCCCTCTTGTTGTTTACTGTTTTTTTATTCTAAAACTCTACTCTGCAGCCCAAAGATCAAGGTACATGTTAAAGAGATTTCTTCTGCCACTGCCACACTCCTATAAGGGGATGTGATTACTTATGGCATTCTTTCCTACTGGGAAATATTGCAGTGCTTCTGCGAGCAGATAAAAACATATTAGACTAGACTTCAGCTATTTGAGTGTGTATTTTCTAACCTGGAATTAGCTACCAGTTGCAAACTAGTGTCCTTTGGGAATGTTTTAAGGGCCCGAGAGTTTATGAGAAAGAATTGGAGAACTTAAGATAATTGAATGTTTTTCCACAACCTAAACAAACATCTCCTTTTCCAAATCCTAGTTTGCAAACCACTGGCATTCACTAGAAAGTACTTGCCTAGCCATAAAACCTTGTGGTGTTTCAACACTTCCTCTGGTTGTGTTTTTCTTTGGTATGTCTTTTGTCAATATCAGATGACTTTCTCTGAACTATAACTTCGGTTGACCAGAGTTTATCCCACAAGTTTTCATCCTTTGACCATCTGTAGCTTGGCTTGCATTGCGGAAGCTGATTCCAAGGTCCAAGGCCTAATATATGTTTTGTATATTGCTGACAAAAAGTTTCTCTTTTTGGTGGAAGACTTGAATTGCATCACTAGCAAAGTTTGCAAAAACGTTTTTGGTCTATTTTACAGCTCTTTGTATTTTTGCATGGCTTATACTGGAGCCCCCAGTGGCACAATGAGTTAAAGTCTTGTGCTGGCAGGATTGCTAATCAAAAGGTCAGCAATTCAAATCTGGGGAGTGGGGTAAGCTTCCGTCTGTGAGCTCCAGCTTCTCATTCAGGGACTTAAGAGAAGCCTCCCACAGGATGGTAAAACATCTGGGCGTCCCCGGGCAACGTCCTTGCAGATGACCAATTCTCTCACACCAGATGCGACTTGCAGTTTCTCAAGTCGCTCCTGACATGAAAAAAAAAGGCTTATATACTGCTCCCTAGGTAGTGATGGACAATGTACCCTGAAAATATATAGAGAAATTCAGAAATAGCCCTGTATGGGCAAAGCATGTGTAATATCTAATGGAATACTGGTAGATTTAGAAGAAGTAGAATACAGCATCCTTGAAGCGGACATGACTGGTAGGCTAGACTCTTAAACAACGTCAGCATTTTATTTATTGTTTATGTTGCACTTGACATGATTTTCAGATATAAAAGCAGAAACAATAAAATTACATTATTTTATAATGGAAATAAATATCAACTTATATCATGTCAGAATCCATAAAGTTGAAATTTTAGCACACAAAAAAGATAGAAGGAGTAAAATTGAAGGCTGGATGCCAACTGGAAGATATTCACTTGATGGTACTTTAATGAGAATTCCAGCCAGATGCTTCTCAGAAAGGCTTTTCACAAATTTTGTTGCAGGCCCTTTTGGTCCCTTCATAAACATTTTTTTATTCACCAGAACATTCAATAGATCTAATGTTTTGCCTGCCTCCCAATGGATCAAACTGATATAATTGAACTATTATATTAATGTTCCAGTTCTAGTAACTGAAGACTGCTTCCTTTTAAACATTGAATTGGATCTAGTACCTTTTACTGTTCTAACCTATTTTCTCCGATTTCAGTAGGTATTTTTGTTTGTTTTCTGTTTCTATATTGGATAATGCATTCAACAGGAATTTTTTAATTTTTGTTTTTGTTTGTTTGTTTGTTGTTGCTTCTGAGGTTTTCTTCACACTTTTGGTATAAAGCATAGATCATTAACATTGTATATCTAAAATGTCTAAAAGTGTGAATGAACATGTGTTTCAGATTTAATGTTTATGAAAATGGATTTCCCAGTTAACTGGGATTGCAGAGTCTCCAACTGAATATTGCCTTCATAGCAATCCAAAGATTTTGTATCATTGTGTGTGAAACAGTGCTGATTTAGGCAACATATAGGGGTTCTCACACTACCTGCATCTACAAATACACATGTGAATAAATTAGATTTGCATGTGCATTGAAGGAGCATTTCATTTTGTTATGGAAAGTAGTGAAACTAAACGTTAACTTTGTATGCTTTGGTCCTAAAAATTATCCCAGATGCCAAGGCCTTTGGTTACACCTGAGAAATTAGCAATTGGGTCTAAATTCTACATTTGGAAATCTCCATTGATGTATTGTAATTACGAGTAAAATCAGTGTGTTGCCTTTTGTTCTGCTCGTGTTTAATTAATGTGCCCATCTTGGAGGGCCAGCTTTTATTTTATCCTCTTAAATGCTTTATGCTTGTCTCATCATTTAGGTTTCGTCACAGCCCTAATTGCTTTTACTTAAGAGACTGGATAATCCATAGTTGGATCAGGCAATGCTTTAAGTTTGGTGCAAAGGACAAAGCCTTGTACACTTTACAGAATAAGGTAATGTTTAGAGAAGAGACACTTTTTATGTGGTGTTAGAACATTCTTTTAATGGGCTACACTAGGAAGCTTGCACTGGATTTGTTTCTTCTTTTCCATTCATTTTTAGAATAATAATGTACAATATTAATTAAATAGGGCACACATTTTTTTCAATCCTGTTTGGCACTGGAGAAAATCTAGCCAAAGTTTAAAAGGTCCCAACGATTCCAATGATGGCAACTCTGTCTACTGTTTCATGAAGTCTATGGACACAAAAACTTGTAATTCTGCCTAGATTGTTCCCTGTTTGTTAATAAATTATTTTATAAATCATTTAATTATTTCATTGTTTTTGAATTAAACAAAAGTTCTTTGGACTTGTATTAGCATATAGCTCCCATATAGCTGCCCCAAGTTCCTCTGGGGAGAAGGGGCAGGATATAAATAAATATTATGATTATTTATTTATATTTATTTGCTATATTTATACCCTGCCTTTCTCTACCCCAAAGGGGACTCAAGGCGGTTTACAACAAAGACAGCTATTCAATGCCGATGATAATTATGATGATTATGATTATATATGTGAGGCATAAATGAAGATATGATATTTCCAATGAAATACAGATTGTGTTCTATTTGTCTTTTTAGCTTAGACTGTAAGGGTAAGGTGGATAGTTTTTTCTATTGTACAGTATGACCCACTTATCTACAGACTCAATGCCCATGATTTTACTTACCTATGCTCCAGAAAACATCCGCCCATTGTTTGTAGCCCTCTTCTAAGTCATCCAGAGCAATTGTATGGTATGCTTCTGGCCCAGGGTTCACTATTATCATGGTTTCAGGTATCCATAGGAAGGTATTCCATAGGAAGATTCAGGTATCAATAGGAACACAGGGGTTTCTCTGTTTTGATGACTGATACTGAAATATTTTAATATCTGTGGTGAAATAAAGGAAGTGGGCTTCGATACTAAATAACGTTTTGGAGAAGTGACACAAGGGCATTCCCATACATCTGATGGTCGCAAACACAAACTTATTACCACAGTATGTGAACTGATAATTGGAATAAAAAATAGATACAATTAATGAGGTGTATTCTGTTTAAACAGTGTACTTTTCCCCAGTGTGTCAGGCACTAGTACCATTATAGCAGTGGTTCCCAACGTTCTGGGAGTTGGTCCAAAACACATGGAGACCCAAATATTGCTAGGTACCCATTGGAACTGCTCCCTTCCTAAAGTTCAAGACAATTCATCCAAACCAGAGGTTCTTGGCCATTGGTTCATTAGCATCCGTGAGATCTCTAGTTGAATTTCAGGGGTCTATGAACAGTTTGCAAAATAATAATAATAAAAAAAATAAATCCTCTGTCTGTGCAATTCAGTTTCCTTCCTATTCCTTTGAAAGTTTTCCTTTATGTGGAGAGAGAACCAGTAGCTTTCATCAGATTCTCAAAACAGGTTCATGACCCCAAAAAGAATCACTGAACTATAGACAGTCATTTGGAAGGCCAGTTTGTTTACTGCTTGCTTGACATTGTTTGCCTCTTGCCATGGGCTGATAACATTTTAGATGTTCCAAGCATATCTCCTGGTTTAATCACTGATAGCAGAACTGAAGTAGAAAACATTCAATCCTGATATTTTTTTTCCCATCTTGGCAGATTGTATTATCTGTTCAGATCATGCTCCAATTTTCTGTAAGATGCCAGTAGTATAAGCTTTCCACATTTTTGTATTTTCTGTTCATTTATTCTAGGTACAATATGGAATATTCCCAGATAATTTTACATTCAATCTTTTATTGGATACTTTTATAAAAGATGGAAATTATGAAGGTAAGAAATAAAATATCTATTAATTGGTCATATATCATGTGCCTTCCTGTTATAAATGTCTAGAGTATTTCACTGAGTTGCATCATATAAACTCTTCTGAATCGCTAAATAGACTTCTAAAATATTAATTGATGAAGCCTCCTTCCCTAAATAGTTCTAGAGCCAGTCATTCAAGCAATAAATCCAGCAATTATACAAAGTAATACAGTGAATTAGTTTGCCTTGAGCCACCGGTGACGCAATGGGTTAAACCCTTGTGCTGGCAGGATTCAAGACCGACAGGTCAGAGGCTCGAATCAGGGGAGAGTGCAGTTGAGCTCCCTCTGTCAGCTCCGGCTCCCCATGGAGGGACATGAGAGAAGCCTCCTACAAGGATGGTAAAACACCAAAACATCTGGGCATCCCCTGGGCAACGTCCTTACAGGCAGCCAATTCTCTCACACAAGAAGCGACTTGCGGTTTCTCAAGTCTTTCCAGACACAAGGAAAAAAAGTTGCCTTAAATTTGAAGGTGGTGGAAGGGGGGCAAATGCAACACATTGGGTAAAAAAATGGCATTTCCCCTCTAAAACATTTTATGTCTAGTGTCAAAGCATTTCTACCACTTGAGGAGAAGCTTGGATCAATTTACACTCAAAGCTAGATCTATACTGCCCTATATGCAAGGACCTGATCCCAGATTATCTTCTTATCCCAGATGATCTGGCAGTGTAGACCCATATAATCCAGTTCAAAGCAGATCATCATCATCTTTATTTATATCCCGCCCCCATCTCCCAAAAGAAACTTGGTGCAACTTGCAAGGCACTACAAGTGTTGTATATAACATAGACGGTACATGAGTACAACAACACAATCACATAAAAGTTATAAAACAACTATTAACACATAAAATAAAAACAGTTTGAAACACAGATAATCTGCCTTCAGGTAGTTTAATCTGGTATCAGATCGTGGTATATAGGGCAGTGTAGATCCAGCCCAAGAGAATCCTTTTTCTGAATCAGGTGAGAAGTAAGTAACTTTGCTTCATTCCCTGTTTGTAAAAATGAACCTCTCTTAAATCTAAAATAACCCAGGAAGATTGAAAAACATAAGAAATTTCAACTTTTGCAGGGGTGAGTATGGGGGGATGGTGTGTCCCTCAAAGGTCTCTTTAAGATTCATGTGGTTCTCTAGCTTCCACAACTGTCCACTCCATCTTAAAGACTTATTTGACAACTGTGGAGTTGGGATCTTGGGATGTTGCCCCCCCCCCCCCCCCCCCCCCGGTAGCCAGAGATCATTCCTTAAGACAACAGGCCTCAATGCATTTCAGATGTGACTTTGGTGATTTCACTTATGGGTCAAAGAGCTGTGGTTCATCTCCTGTTTGACTAATGGAACACTTTTCTATTTGTCTGTTTGACTAATGGAACACTTACAAATACTTATTATATTTCCTGGCTCAGAGTAGGGCTCAAAAGAAGATGCACTGCCTCAGGATTAACTTCAAAATGTGCAAATATATTCTTGTTGCAAATTATCAATTAAAGTTACAATATTAGGTCCAAAAATTAATATTTCTTTAATTTATGCAATAGATATATCAATTTCTTGGATGTTTTGTCTTATGCCTGTTATGACAGGTTGTGCTTTTTATTGAATTTTTCGTTTGTTAAATTATAATTCATATTTATATGTTGGGTTGTATAAATTTTGTTAGCATTGATGTATTGTTGTTGTATTCGGGCATTGACTGTTTGCCTTTTATGTTTGGAATCCGCCCTGAGTCCCTTTGGGGAGATAGAGTGGAATATAAAAAAAGTTTTGTTATTATTTATTATTATATTCTTTTCTGACTGTATTGTTATCATATGATTTGAGTCTCTAGAGTCAAAAATCGTAATGTATGCATGTCATTTGAAAATACTGTGAGGAATGCTTAATGTCAGTGAGGTCAATGTCTTGGCAAACCCACCATTTCAAAATGATTTTATTATTGGATTTATGTGAGTTTTCCGGGCTGTATGGCCATGTTCTAGAAGCATTCTCTCCTAACGTTTCGTCCACATCTATGGCAGGCATCCTCAGAGGTTGTGAGGTCTGTTGGAAACTGGGAAAGTGAGATTTATATATCTATGGAATGTCCAGGGTGGGAAAAAGAACTCTTGTCTGTTGGAGGCAAGTGTGAATGTTGCAATTGGCCAGCTTGATTAGCATAGAATAGCCTTGCAGCTTCAAAGCCTAGCTGCTTCCCACCTTTGTTGGAGGTGTTTTAGCTGGCCCTGATTGTTTCTTCTCTGGAATTCCCCTGGGTTTTTTTTAGTGTTGTTCTTTATTTACTATAAACATTTGTTTGTTCAATTGTTTAGATGCTATGGCTGTGGTCACTGAGATCATGATACAGGAAAAATTTGAGGAAGTGTCTACACAGCTTCTCTCGCTCTATGTCATGTACAAATATTTGGCAACCAAATCAGAATTAACGGTAAGCTATTTGCATAACGAACTTGTGTTGTTGTAGTTTAAGTGGTAGAACATTGATGTAGTTCAGACACAGCCTTCTTTGTCTTCCAGACCATGCTATGTGGCAGTGGCCCTCAACCATTTGTTTTAGATTTTTAAGTACCAGTAAGTAACGTGGCCCAAAGTCAAGGATTCAGATAAAAGATAGAGAAAAACTGGATTGGAGGATTGGGAATATGATTGAAGCTGGTCTACCCCAATCCTTTCCTTTCTTCTTTGAATGAGCAAAACGTAGTTTTACATCCAAATTATGTAAATTTTACTTTGTGCAAAATTAAATATACTTTGTAAATCATGAATTAATGTTAAAATATTGGGTCTTTATCAGTTCCAAAACTGAATATTTAATTGCTCTATCACATTTCCTGAATAGAATTGAAGGCAGTTCAGACATCAGTTAAAACAAGGTTCATAAATTAAAAAATGAAATGTGTTTAAACCCAATGAAATAGGTTACCATATTAAAAACACCAAATGCTTTAAAAAGACTGCAAATAGTTTCATTCACATGGCAGCCCCATCCTGAGGAGCTATATTAACTAAATGCTTGACCAGTGTTACATTTGGAAACTTTCTATCCAAATATTACAGTGCTAAAGAGAAAAGATAATGTGTAATAAGGTTGAGAGAACTGTGTGTTTTCCTTTCATGTCCAATCCATACAAATGTGATGTTTAGTACTTGCCCCAACCCCCTATTCCTGGTGGCGTAGTGGGTTAAACCGCTGAGCTTCTGAACTTGCTGACCAAAAGATTGGCAGGGTGGGCTCCCGCTGTAAGGCTCAGATTCTGCCAACCTAGCAGTTCAAAAACATGCAAATGTGAGTAGATCTATAGGTACTGCTTCTGCAGGAAGGTAACAGTGCTCCATGCAGTCATACCAACCACATGACCTTGGAGGTGTCTTCGGACAACACCAATTCTTCGGCTTAGAAATAGAGATGAGCACCACCCCCCAGAGTCGGACACGACTAGACTTAGTCAGGAAAAACCTTTACCTTTACTAAACATATGATTCTTTTTATCTACATTTATTAATGTTAAATTTAGTACATTACAGCATCTTAGTGAGGCCAATCTACTTTGCGATTCTTTTTCATTTATGTCACATCTTCTGGTATCACTTGTGGTTTGTTTTTCATACACAAATTTATGTTCAATGGAATATCACCATGTCTCTATTCAGCCCCTGGCCACTGCTAATGAGGGTTAGAAAAATGCAGTGGTATTGGCAGAATTATAAAGTAAAACTCTGAATTTAGCATTGTCCCAGTTTTCTATTTGTGTCACCATATGCGTGCATAATCATATGCAAACATTATCTCATCTTTGTATTTAACTATGTATAAAGAGAACAAATGGAAGAGTAATCATATATGATTCCAAGTTTTCTAGTTAGTGGTTTTCTTTGTTTTCTTTATACAGTGGACCCTTGGTATCTGCAGGGTTTTGGTTCCAGGATGCCCTGTGGATACCAAAATCCATGGATGCTCAAGTCCCATTATATACAACATAGTAAAATGGTATCCCTCATATAAAAAGGCAAAATCTGAATTTTTAAAAATATTTTCAAGCTCTGGTTGGTTGAATCTATGGATGTAGAATCTGTGGGTATGGAGGTCTAACTGTATGCCTAGGTGAAATAAAATATATTTTACGTTCCCATTTTCCCTTTTATATGCGTAAAGTATTTAAGAAGACAGATTTATTAGATGGGAATAGTAATCTAGATCTTTAATCTAGAAACTACCTAAAATTGGAAATGTCACAGAGTGTGATGTTACGCTCACCATGATTTCAACATCAGATTAGTCTTTACCCTTCTCCCTACAGCTATCCTCCCTCTCTCTGTCAAGAGATCTCAAGCTGGTTTACTATCAAACAATCCAGCCATTTTAAAATGTGAGGCTAGTTAAATAATTTTTAACGGCCTAGAATTATAGAGTTGAGAGAGACCTCATGGGCCATCCAGTCCAACCCCATGCCAAGGAGAAGGTTCAAAGGTCAAAGCTTAATACACATTAAACAATTTAGCAAATACAGATTAATAGTATCTAGGCATTACTAGTATCTTCAGTTCAGAATGATGAAGAGATGGCACTTTTCTTCTTTTCAATATATGCCTCTGCTGTTTATGTTACTTTGTTATATTACTATAGCTAGCTGCTATCAAGTACAGGCTTCCCCGAGGAATAAACATCTGAGTTACAAACAACTCATAGATGATAACAACAACAACAACAACAACAACTTTATTTTTATACCCCACAACTATCTCCCCAAAGAAACTCGGGGCAGCTTACATGGGGACCAAGCTCAACATACAGCAAAATTTACCAGCTTAAACATAGTTTTAGGAGCCCCCGGTGGCGCAGTGGGTTAAACCACTGAACTGCTGAACTTGCTTATGGAAAAGTCGTAGGTTTGAATCTGGGGAACGATGCGAATTCCCACTATTAGCGCTAGCTTCTGCCAACCTAGCAGATCGAAAACATGCAAATGTAATTAGATCAAAAGGTACCGCTCCGGGAGGAAGGTAACAGCACTCCATGCAGTCATGCTGGCCACATAATCTCAGAGGTGTCTACGGACAACACCGGCTCTTCGGCTTAGAAATAGAGATGAGCACCAACCCCCAGAGTCAGACATGACTGGACTTAATGTCAGGGGCTTTACCTTTAAAATACAGATAAAATATAAAATAAAATATTAAAACATAATAACATATAAAATACCATAAACAATCTAACTAAAGCAATTGAAAACAGCAATCATAGAACATCGTAAAAGTGTATCAAACCAGCCTCAACAACCAGTAACAAGGAATATGGTGGGCATAATCAGGTTAGAGAGAGCAGGGCATAGAATGGGGGTGAAGCAACAGGAAGTGAGAGAAATCTACCCCTCAGAAAGGAAATTCACTCCTGAAAGAGTTATCATGGGGAAAAAGTGCCTCCACTGAAGCTTTCTCAACAACCCTGGTTTCCACAATAAGACAGTTTTTTCAAAATCCATTTATCAGGGACAGAAAGTGTGATGAATTATGTTTTTATGATGTTGTGTATGTATTTTTATTTTAACCGTGTTTGACTGGGCTTGGTCCCCATGTAAGATAACCCGAGTCCCTTCAGGGAGATGGTGGCGGGATACAAACATAAAATTATTATTATTATTATTATTATTATTATTATTATTATTATTATTATTAACTTGGAGGCTGCCTACTGTATATTGGATAAGGGGAGGGAGTATGAAAATTGGTAGCCTGTATGCTAACTCAGAATCAGTGGAACTAGAACTTGTTTAATGTTTGTTTTGCTTTTAAAAATATAGATGTGAATTTTCCTGATCAACAGAAAATATTCAAATAAGAGAAAGACCACATGTGTGCAGCCACCATGGCATTGTCCTCTACTTATCTTCCTTGTCAGTGTCAAACCCTTGTGTGGGCTGTACTGCTGACCTGTAGGTTGGGTTGCTGACTTGAAGGTTACCAGTTCAAATCCACAAGACGGGGTGAGCACCCCTCTGTCAGCTCTAACTTGCAGGGACATGAGAGAAGCCTCCCAACAGTATGGTAACACATCTGGGTGTCCACTGGGCAATGTCTCTGTAGACGGCCAATTCTCTCACACCAGATGTGACATGCAGCATGTTCTCAAGTCACTTCTGACACAATAAAAAAGTGTCAAGTGTAGCTCATAGAAGAATAATTATGGCAGAGAACACATAAGGCATGGTAACAAAAGCCAAAGCATTGCCAGATGTACCTCATGTTGTTTTATCATTTTTTTCAAACAATGTTTGCTCTGTTTTTAGTGGGAAGAAGAGAAAAATCTTGGCGCATCCCTCTTGATAACAGGGTTGAAACAGAACAACACTGTGGGATTCAGTTCTCAGCTTTATGGCCATGCACTTCTTGGTAGGTCTTAAAAGTATTTAATTAAAGTATTTCTTACTGCTTTATCGATTAGTTCAGAACAGCTAGAGTAAAGCAAATTCTTCAATTAAATTCTAATATAGCCTTTGATGTGACAAAATTGAAACTAAATCAAATTTACCACGCCAGCATACAAACAAAGCAATGTGAGGCCCAGAAAATCAATCAGGTATTCTGAGCCTTCCTGTTGAATGCTTGAAAAGAGCCAAAGGCTCAGCTATAGCGTCTACTTGTCTCTCTCTTTAGCCCATAGCCCAACCCCAGAGGCAAGGAAGCCTTACCTTAGGAATCCATAAGTTATAGTGAGTGCAGGAATATATATATTTTTGACACAAAGAAAGAGCCTTTTGGAGTCATTGACCTGGTTCAGTTCCCTATTGTTGTTGTTTATTTGTTCATTCGCTTCCGACTCTTTGTGACCTCATGGACCAGCCCACGCCAGAGCTCCCTGTCGGCCATGGCCACCTCCAGCTCCTTCAAAGTCAAGCCAGTCACTTCAAGGATACCATCTATCCATCTTGCCCTTGGTCAGCCCCTCTTTCTTTTTCCTTCCTTTTCCCCCAGCATCATTATCTACTCCAAGCTTTCCTGTCTCCTCATGATGTGGCCAAAGGACTTCATCTTTGTTCCCTAGTCTAGTTCCCTAGTTCAGGCCTAAATCCAGGTCATTCTAAGAGACTTCTATTAGTACTACAAGCCTACTTTCCCTCCTCTCCTAATTTCAGCTTTCCATTCTGCCCAAAAGTCTTCTCTTGAGGGTTCTTCCTACCCGTCAGAATAAATTGTGATGATGCACAGAGGGCTGCAGAGAGGATAGAGAATTACTACAATTCTCTGAGCACAATACCTTTGGCTTACATCTTCAGTATCCTTTTAAGGTTTTTTATTAATTTATTTCATGCAAGGTTAAACAATCCTGTGTTGGTCGTGTCCTCCTTGGAAAGAGTTTTTCACTGGCAGATTACATTTGAGTGTGAGACAGTTTTGGCTCAGAGTGTCAGACAGTTGCCCTCTCCCTGCGTATCATAATTTGTTAACAACAGCTAGAGCGCCTGTGAAGTGACAGGCTGAGGATGCTGATTCTAATTGTGCCTGACTGAAAGACAAAAAAAGGGGGAAAGTCCAACCATCCAGATTATGATGGAATAAAGAACAAAGCTATAAACAAACTGGCAGCAGGTTTTCTCCGGAAGTATTGGTTTGCCATTCACTTGAGGTGCCAATATACATCTACTTTTCCCAGTACTTTCTCCATCTAGCATGGTCAGCACTTTAAATGCAGCCTGAATAATATGGAAAAACATATCACTTAGGAAAACATGTTACTTGCTGTGTGTTGCCTCCTTCGACATTGGCATTCAGGTCAAAAGCTATTTTCTGCAATGTCACATGTTCTGAATTCTTGCCAATCCTTGTGGAGTAGACCGCTGCAAAGAGTGAAGGATGTCTGTAGGTATCTCCTGGCCTCTGGGCACCTTAGCAGTTTATATTTAGCCTTAGCTCAGTGAACTATTTGTTTGTGCACACAGTCCTATAGTTCTCCATAGGCTCCCGGCTTGGTGAAGGTGTGTCGCACCCATTTCCAATGATAGAGTTACCTTTGTGATTGAACTAGACAGATAATTGTGATAACAGTCTCCAGTAAAGGAAGCAAATCCACATTTTTTAAAAAGCATTTTACATCAAATATCAGGTTTTAGTAGCATGGTAGCACAGGATCTGAGTCCTGCTAATAAAGAGTTGTACAGCCAACACTGTCTAGTGGTTAGAGTGTTGGTTTATGGCTGGAGACGAGGGTTCAATTCCCCACTTGGCCATGGAAACCCACTGAGTAATCTAGGATGAGTCATACAGTCCCAGCCCCAGAAATCCCCATGATAGATTCATCTTAGAATCTCCATAGGCCAGAAATAAACTTGAAGGCACACAGCAACAATACATTTTAACTCTTCAAATATTCAGATTTGAAAAAAATCACGTCGTGGTTTTAAAACAAGGGGGAAAATGGCAAACTTCAGTCTGAAAGAAGTAATTGGTGTAATTCCCCGCCCTTACAATTCTGGGGGTGGGAAGGACAGGATATAATTGTCTGAAATAAATAAATAATAAATATATGAAAACACAGATATATTAGTCTTGTTGTGTGTCAAGTTGGATTCAGATAAGCCCTCATTCTGTGCCTTTAAAATGCAGTTATTATGTCATGTGCAAATGTAAGATCAGTTTACAAATTTTAATTTGATTCATTTTATCCATTCATTCATTCAGTTTTCCATCTTTCTCATAGCATTGCTATAATCAGCTTATTACAACTTTATGTTACAAATGTTAAAAACATTTGAAGAATTCTATTTTTAAAAACACATAATAATATTATTGTTCTATCCCTGAGCTCCCATTCAGTACAAAACTGTGCATGTTTTTAATGTTGCTTGTTGTTCCAAAGTCATTGGTGCTCCAAAGCTCTTGACAATTCAGAAAATTAAATATAGTTTATGCATAAAGTGAAACAGAGAGCAGTTCATACAAAAATGTTTAAGACTGTTCTCCTCCTTTAGTGGTAGGCTTGGTGATATTTCTGAAGATCCTTTGTCTTTCATGCACTTTGGTGCATCTGAGATCCACTTTGGTATCAGATGCAGAAAAACACAAGAGGTGGCAAGAAGCAGGAAAGCCACAGTCTGGGTGATGCCAAATTGAGAATTATGGTTGAATTATTCAACTTTTTCCTTCACTGCAATCCAGGTGAAAATTGCCCTATCACCACCATTCCTGATAGATTTCTTTCTGAAGTTAATTATAGGCACGAATGGGACCTTCCCAGAAGTTGAGAGTCTAGTGAGAAATGTTGTCCTTCCTAAATCCTGTGCCTACCCCTTACTATTTAAAACACACAATAGTTATTTCATACCTAATGGGCCTAAATATACATTTTTAAAAGTTATCTATGTTTTCTGCTTTAAATGGTGCACAATAACTTTCTGGGTGGATGTTTTCTAACAGGAAAGGGGGAGCTGCATCATGGGCTGCGAGCCGTCTACCGAAAGATGCCCCTCATGTGGACCCCTGGGTACCTGAACAGAGCCTTGCAAGTGATGGAAAGTGTGGCCTTGCTTCCTGACAACAATGTCAAGCTTTGCAAGGAAGCTGTAAGTGGAAAGGCAAAGGGGTTGAGAAACATGTGTATAATCAAAAGTAGAGAACCAGCCTGGTTGCAGTTGGCCCTATTTCCTCTTCATGCACTGTTATTCTAAATTTAACTTCTCCAGATTCTTTCCCTGTTTCATATTGTTTGAACATACATTGAATTTCTTGTATTCCATTGGTGTTTCTTTGCATGTCACAGAATAAACATTGGTTGAGACTGCATTAGAGGCTGCAGTTCGATATGTAATAATGTCTTCACCTCACCATTCTAGTCCATTGCAAGAGTGTTTATTGAGGCCTCCTCTGCAGTGCCTTGTTGTGCAGTAGGAATTCCCACTGTGCAATGAATCTCATAGCACTCTTATACCATTGTTACCTCCGTTTTCATAATTGTCTGAGAGACATAGGCACATCTTCCCTCCTGATACCAGCATTGCGCAATGTCACATTTCACCATTAGGTGATCATTAATCGGTTCATGGTGACATAAATATCTAACAGTTTGCAGGTGTACTTTCTGCAAAATCAGAAAAATATGACTTATGCAAGGGTAGACTCCCACAATTCCTGATCCTACTTTTGACAGAACATCCAAAAGCTAGCAGACCTTCAATTTTCTTCCATTGCAGATCCTTGTGTTGTGTTTCTGAATCCCAGTTGCTAGAAAATGTTAATCGAAAGGTGCTCTTACCCTCATCGCCTGTGGAAGGTTTTCCGTAGACAAACACTGTTGGGGGAAAAGGATGCTGGGATTAATAATTAATTTATGGACAGCTTCATAAAGTCTCAGTGCAAATTTGCAGTAAGAACACATCACAGTAAAACCTAAGAAAATAATAACAAAATAAATAGTGTGTTGTTGAAGGCTTTCATTGCTAGAATCACTGGGTTGCTGTGAGTTTTCTGGGCTGTATGACCGTGTTCCAGAAACATCAGGAGAGAATGCTCCTGGAACATGGCCATAGAGTCCGGAAAACGCACAGCAACCCAAAATAAATAATACAATCCATTAAAACTAATTTGTTAAAACCAGATATACCTGGCAGTGCTAACAATCAGGAAAATGTCAAAACAAACAGCTGGGTTTTTAGTTAGCAGTGGAAATATCTATCACAGGAGGCTACCTAAATTTAGTTTCAGATGGAGGATAACAAAACAGAGAGCTCTTTCCTTCACACCGCAATCAAGTGAGCCTCATTAGGTTTCAGTGCAGTGCAGAGACATCCCAAAGTGTAAAGCCTGGGAAGGAAGATATGAAAGTAGATGAGCCTCTTTTCTGAAACTGCAGTTCATGCCTCATGGGATTTAGTAGAACATTTTAGACTCACCCAGATCAACAGTCTGTGGTGTATTAAGACCATGAGAAGCAGATTCTTAACTGCTAAGATTTCTTTAACCATTTCTGCTCCATTAAATAAACAGTTATTTGGGAACAAGCTAGTGCACATTTGGGATCGTTTACACATTCATACGCACAATGAGAACTTGTGAATGGGATGCATAATGAGTGATTTTGGATGTGGCACTGATTCAAAGAAACAAGAGCAACATGTTCCTTGGGCTTCCTGAAATCCTACATTTCTGTCTTGTCTCAATTTGGATATTTGCATCTTTCCCAACCAAGAGAGACAGAAACTGCAGATTCACTATGTGCCCTTCCCTGACCTGGCAAGCCTCCTTTATTGCTTGTGATCAAATTGAGGGAACAAATAGATGACTGTATTGAAAATCAACTGAGACAAGATAAGCTCATGATGCATTTTGACTAAATAAGAGTGGCGATGCCTGTTATGCAGTTGAAGCATACAGTAATCTCTTCCTCTTCAAGTAATCACTGTACAATATTTTACTAATTTTCAGTAAAAGACTCTGCTCTGTCTGGAGCCGATAATAAAATCAATAGTCCTTTCAGAAAAGCCCAGCTTCATCGACTGTCTTTGATCTGCCTGCAGGCACACTCAAAAGAAAAGCTAAACTCACTTTTAAATTCCCAGAGCTTTTCCCTCACAACAGTTATCAAATAATCCATTGCTGATCATTACACCACTTTTTGTTGGTGCATTGTTGTTTTTATATGTGATTTAGACTGCAGCAGACTGTCTCAGTTAAACAACTGTTCAGCAGTTCATTCCAGGGAGGGAGAAACATGAATCGAAAGAGAAAATGATGAGTGCTGAAAAACCATGAATTTGCATACGGCTGCTTGACATCCTATTTTCAATCCTCTAGCATTTTACTCTTGAGTGTTTTTCAACTTGACTTACGAGGCTAAGAAAGGTTTCTTTTTAAAATAATTGGTTTTTCTCAGGATTTTAACAAGGATCCGCAGGCTCCAGAATGGTGCCCATGGGAGTGTCACATTGACCTCCCTTATAATTTTTGGACAGTATGACACTCTTTACTGTTTTTCCAAGCCATTGACTATCTTTCCCCATTTCTCTTGCAAAGATGGATGTTTTGGCAGCCATTTTGCAGAATGTTCCTGTAGCGGAAGCTTCTCAAGAGGACGCCAAGGATTCGGAAGAAACGCTGAAGCAAGCAGAATCTGAAGAAACAGAGATATCTCGACTGCCTGAGTACCTGCATCGATTTACGGTAAGCTGCTTCCTTCCTCCAGGGCATTAACTGGTTCGAGCTAGTTTCCACTGTTTGCAGTAAAAGGTATGCTTCCTTCTGCTTCTGCTGAAGCTCTTAGTGTTCCATCAGTAATGCACATCAGGGCTTTTTTTGGTCACTGAGTTCAGTTGTCCATCCCAAATAGAGTAGATCTATTGAAATAAAGGAGAACTTGGTAAAAATTGGAGTTAACCCTGAGAGTAAATTATGTTCTCAGTCTTTCAGATGGGAAATCATCTTGTAAAAGCATGCTGCTGGGTCCCTGTCTTATTAAAATGTTATTTTAGTGTTTCATACATCAGAATTAGTAAATGAAGTTGCTATTATCTAACATATAATACTGCTCCTGGTTACTAACTTGCTGTTCAGGGAAGTTCTGTATTTCATCTCTGCTCCTCTAGGAAAGATCTGTTGCCTTTTCTACATGCTAGCTTAGAGAATGTGAAGGAACCGCTAGGCTAAGCTGGCCCTATGGGTGGCGCAATGGGTTAAACCCTTGTACCGGTTTGAATCTGCAAGACCGGGTGAGCTCCCATCTGTCAGCTCCAGCTTCGCATGTGGGGACATGATAGAATCCTCCCACAGGATTGTAAAACATCCAGGCATCCCCTGGGCAATGTCCCTTTTGACAAATGCAATCGGATAGAGATTCTGGAATTAGATACAGAGGATTTATGTTTTATTGATGCTATTGTTTATGGAATTTTATGATGTTTATATGCTTTTAACTGTTTATATTATTGTGGCATCGAATTGTACTGGTTCTGTAAACCACCCAGAGTCGCCCTCAGGCTGAGAAGAGCGGTATAGAAATATAGTAAATAAATAATAATAAATAAACAGCCAGTTCTCTCACACCAGAAGCTACTTGCAGTTTCTCAAATTGCTTCTAACACAATAAAAAAAACAGCTTAGGAAGTAGATATTTTTCATGCTTTGAATGTGATTTTCCTGCTTCTTGACAGGGGGTTGAACTGGATGGCCCACGAGGTCTCTTCCAACTCTATGATTCTATGATTCATACTATCATGCTGTTATGTACCACAGCATAATATTATTGAGAGCCTTCTCCTCTCTTTCATGTAATTAGCAAATTACTGTTGCTTCTATATTTAAGAAAATATATTTTGCTTCCGGCTTAGTTCTAAGGAGACCATAAAATAATACATGAGATGGATTTTTTGTGAAGTTTAAGCCTTTTCTGTATTTATTTCTTGTTGTGGCACTAGAAAGACCCTTTTTAGAAATGGCACAGACAGTGCTTTACAGATCAATATCTACAGCAGGGAAGGCATTCTAATGTGTAGCTGGACACATTTTGTGCAGTAGGAGAATAAAATATGCAGTAAGGAATAGATTTTTATGTAGTTAGCCACCTGAGATTTAATCAGGAACCATGTTATTTCTTAAAACAAGTGGATGAGAAGAAGATAGGGAAATTATAATTATCTTTCAGTCTTACTAAACTTATATTAACAGTATATTAACTGGGCAGGCCCACTGGTGGTGCAGTGGGTTAAACCGATGAGCTGCTGAACATGCTGACTGAAAGGTTGGTGGTTCGAATCAGGGGAGCGGGGTGAGCTCCCACTGTTAGGTCTAGCTTCTGCCAACCTAGCAGTTCGAAAACATGCAAATGTGAGTATATCAATAGGTACTGCCTTGGCAGGAAGGTAATGGCTCTCCATGTAGTCATGCTGACCACATGATCTTGGAGGTGTCTACAGACAACACCAGCTCTTTGGCTTAGAAATGGAGGTGAGCACTACCCCCCAGAGTTGGACAAGACTAGACTTAATGTCAGGGGAAAACTTTAGCTTTACTATTAACTGGGACAACCGTCTTTTCTGACTTTGAGCAAGATGGAAACAAGAGTCAAGGTATGTCTAGCTGTTTTATATCCAGTTGTATTGCTGCAGGCATTTTCAGTTGCCTCCAGCACTCCTTTTGCACCACAGTTTTTGCCATTGCATACATTTTGGAAATTCGGATTTATCCACAATGCCAATGCACTTCAGGAATGATGCAAATGTATCCTCACTCAATAAGGCTGTCCATTACTTTTCAAGATCTGGAGACTCTTCCCAATAACATATGGTGGTGGATGGATGGATCAGGGGGAAGCACCCCCTTGGTATTGTCCCTTGTGTGCAAAAGTGGGGAGATGGCAGGAGGACTTAGAGTTGGTAGAAGTAATCAATTCTTTGCATGTTTGCTGAACAAAGACTATTGCTCAGTTACAGCTAGCCTGCTTTACACTGACTGTGTTGGCTGAAGGACTGCGAGGATCCTACATCCATACTTATTAAAACACACAGGGAGTTTAGTGGGAGTTGACACATAATGGATAAGGACCTAAAGTATGTGTCAGAAAACTAAAAGTTCACCTCTACCAAATACATAGAGCCCCTCTTGGTGGTGCAGCAGGTTAAACCACTGAGCTGCTGAACTTACTGACCGAAAGGTTGGTGGTTCAAATCCGGAGAGTGGGATGAGGTCCCACTGTTAGGCCTTGCTTCTGCCAACCTAGCAGTTTGAAAACAAATGTGAGTAAATGTGATCAAAAGGGAAGGTAACGTTACTCCATGCAGTCATGACCTTGGAGGTGTCTGCGGACAATGCCAGCTCGTTGACTTAGAAATGGAGATGAGCACCATTCCCCAGAGTCGGACACAACTAGACTTAACGTCAGGAAAAACCTTTACTTTTACTACCGCATACATAATAGTCTCTCCCTTTCTTAGACTGTCTTTCCATCTGCAGGATGAGGGATAATAATAGCGCTTGATCTTATCTTCTGCTTTGCCTCTTGAGTTTGTTTCAAGAAAAGCATACCTAACCTGTAAAAATGTCACAGCCCACTCACCCTCTTGTCTGTCTGTGACAGGGCATCCTTAACAGTGGAAATGATCATGCTAGTTGCTTAGAATGAATCACTGCTTCTTGTGGGCCAGGAACTTAATGCAGAGCCAATGTCTGTGTGATTCACTATGTGACATTTTGTCAGGAAGAGGGTGTGGAAGCTCTGGGAATGTAAGGGGGAGGTTTTCCCAGCATTGAACAGGGCTAAAGAGTGGATGCAGTATAATAGCTCTGTTTATGCTGAACTCCTTTCAGTATGTTCAAAATAATTCAGTTGAAAAGGACTACAAGGGCTATCCAGTACAGCCCCCTGTGATGCAAGAATGCACAACTAAAGCACCATTAAGAGATGACCACCCAATCTCTGTTTCAAAACCTCCAGGGAAGAAAAGTCTGAAATTGAATTGCTTATCCCAGGCACTAGGAAATATTAGCAATAATAGAGTAAATTAATAAATGTAATAATAATTATAAGTAGAGTAAAATAATAAATGTAATAAAAATAATAACAGAGTAAAATAATAAATAATTTTTACTCAAGTATAAGCCGAGGGGGTTTTTTCAGCCTAAAAAAGGGGGCTGAAAAACTTGGCTTGTATTTGAGGATATATGGTAATTCCAATTAGTGTATGCATTTGGGTAACGATTAAGCACCAGGTACTCAGTGCTTGATATTTATAACATAAACATGTATTTTGTTAATATCAAGTGTAATTGTATAACTGCAAGCTCATTTAATGATCAGGATGTAGGTCCTGGTTCTGCACCTGTACTAGTGTTTCCATTAGACCTGCTTCCCAAAAAGTGTCTGGTGTTTTGCCATGGCTCAAAGCACTGTTTCCAGACTCTACCGGCACACAAAATTAAAGGGATGGCACCAGGCATAGTACAGTTTAAAATATCCTTCAATTGAGCTCAGTCATTGTGCATGTGTGCAAGGATAGGTCTCGTGGCATTGCTCACTTCCTTGTTCCATAAGGTCACATTTCTAACCAGGACATCCTTTTTACTAAACTGAACAAGGAATTTTCCTGAATTTGAATGGTGCATGTGTCATGTAAATGTACTGCCTTTTTCTTACCCACAGGGCTATCCATATGCTTTGATATTAAGGGAAAGAAAAGTTCATAGTGGGGTGTGGAAAACACAGTGGAAACATGGGTTATACTTTCAGTAAAAGCCTTAGTTTTTCAATCAATGTGTAGAAAAGATGTCATTTTAGAAAAGTATTCCTTAGATAGGCAGCTATGTTACTTTGCTTGTCTGTTTTAATGAAATATTATCTGCATCAAGGAGCTATTTATCTCTACAGAAGATTTTGTCTTGTTCTTTGAGCAAATTACTACTGGCTTCCTGCATAGAGACATATTCTGTCATAGACAGGCAGTGCCACATACTCTTGGTTTGTATCAAGTTACGAAACTCTGAGAATGGGACATACTTCTCTATAAAAGCCAGGTAGCACCAGGGGAGGAGCACCGGACACTTTCGCATTTACCCTTATCTGCCTATATTTTGGATAACAAATGTTCAAAAAGCATGCCTGGTGTGTCAGCAAAGGCACAACACCATCCTTTCTGTCATTTACTGTATAACTCTAGGGATGTGCTTTAGATGGTAATGGTGGGGAAAGGTCAAAGAAACCCGCTAAGCAACATTAGACACATTTGATATGCAGTATTTCAATGATCAAGCTGAATGACTCACTCAAGGAAGCTACAGCCCCGAGTTTGTAAGACCTGAGCAGAGCTGTTGATAACAAGGTGATTTGGAGGACCCTCATATATAGTTTTGCCATGAGTTGAAGTCAACTTGATGGCAGTTAACAACAACAGCTGATCAATATTAATTCTGTTGTGCACTAGTTACTAGTAAGGTAAAGGTTTCACATGGCAAACATTCAATGCCATAGACACACAACATATATAGACAGACACCCATAGGCTATTTAACTTTCCAGCTTTCATGAGGGTATTCTGGCCACAAGGGGAGCTGTCGCTTCATCATCCATTTGAGACACTGATGGAGTACTTCCATATTCTTTGCTTGCTTGCTGGAGATTTCATAGCGTCGTAAATTAGTTAAATTAGCCTCCCCACATAAGCGGTACATTAAGTCTAGTCATGTCCAACTCTGGAGGGTGGTACCCATCTCCATTTCTAAGACAAAGAGCCAGCATTGTCCATAGACACCTCCAAGATCATGTGGCCAGCATGACTGCATGGAGCGCCGTTATTTCCTGCCAAGGGGTTACCTATTGATCTACTCACATTTGCATGCAAGGTTTGCAGGAGCTGGGTCTAACAGCGGGTGCTCATTCCGCTCCCCGGATTTGAACCACTGACTTTTCGGTCAGCAAGTTCATCAGCTCAGCAGTTTAACCCGCTGTTCCACCAGGGACCCCTATCAAGTTACTAATTTACAATTTAAATCTTTATATACCTGCTGGGCTTTATTCTAGCCTAATCTTGCCCAGCAAGATTAGGCTAGCCCCCACTTTTAAGGCTAGAAACTTTTAAGAAGAACCTCAAAACGTGGCTTTTCCGTTGCGCTTTTGGAGAGTGCTTTTACATCTCCTTTTGTCATGTTCCTCTATAAAGGGTGTCCTCATATTGTACTGTCTCTTGCCCCCATGAAGGGTTGTCTCTACTACTCCGTTCATGAATCTCCCTTAAAATATATAGGTTTTATTTTTATATCATCCTTAGTTTTTATCATTGTATTTTGCACATGTGGCCCGCTCATTGTGATTGTGTTTGATTTTCTGTTGTATTACTTTGCACTGTTTATTATATTTTACGCTTGATTTGTTTTATTTTATTGTGATATTGCTTTATGCTTTTTATGTTACTGTATTGGAATGCACTTCTGGGCTTTGTCTCATGTAAGCTGCCCCGAATCCCCTTTGGGGAGATGGTGGTGGGGTATAAATAAAGATGATGATGATGATGATGATTATTATTATAACCCTTATTGTATACAATCAATTGCACACTGTTGATCCCCCTCCCTGCTTTGTCTCCTTCTGCAACACAAAATGACTGTTTTAGCTGCCTATTTTGAAATCTGCCCTTGAAAAAAGGATGATTGTGGAGATCAGAATTGTATGTCAGATGGAAATTACACGTTACATAGACCAAAAACTAAATGCAAGGGATATACAAACTTATGTGCCAGTTGAAGCAGCCAGTATGGTAGCTGTAATTGAGAGCAGGAACTGTAATCCAGTGATATAGAACCTAAAGAGAACTACCTTGTAGTTTGGGAATTAACTATCTTACTGATCACATAAGGCACCCTGCATACCTCTATTGTCACTTGCAAAGCAAGCCACTGTGAAGTTGTGGTTAGAGCACAAGTGAGCAAGCACATCCCTCCAGCTTTTGTTTGCTGTTCCCAGCATAACCAAAGACGAGGAATGCTGGGAAGTGCAGTCCAATGGCATTTGGTAGTCCCGCTGCTGAGTTAGAGCATTTGACTAGAATTGAGGTGCCTACACTGCCATGAATTGCAACAGATGATGTTGGGCTAGTTCTTAGCCTTATGTACTACCTAGGCTTGTTGCAAATATTAAATTATATAGAAAAGTGCATACCTATCATGGAGTTTAAGATCATCTGGGGAGGCCCTGCTCTCGGTCCCACCTCCCTCACAGGCGTGATTGGCGGAGACGAGAGATAGGACCTTCTCATTGATGGCCCCTCAGCTGTGACCAAGCCTTTAGAGAACTTGTGCAATGGATAGACTTGGCACAATGTGCAATGACCATTGGAACAGCCCGGATTACGCTCATGGATTGCATGTTTAACTCTTATTGTATTGTTTTTAATTGTTTTAATGTGCTTTTTAATTCTATTTTAATGTTCATTTAAGTGTACATTGTGTTTTAGGGCATCAGATTGTTGCCTGTATTTAAAGCCGCCTTGATTCCTCTCTGGAGTGAGAAAAGTGGGGTAGAAATGTCGTCAATAAATAAATAAATAAATATCCATGATGCCTTGTGACATGCTCTCCTAGCTAAGATGACAGTTTAATAAATACATCATTGAGTAAATATAAAATGTCTACTCAGATATGAAAGCAAATATGTTCAGATGGGCTGCAACCTAAGAATCTTGGAATGGAAGGTCCATTATGGAATATTATTTAGCATCATTACATGTCAATATCTCCTAATTCTTTGTTGTCCAGCATGCATCCAACATGAGGAAATGTCTCTTTCTGCCTCCAGAGCAAAGCAGGAGTCCCTAGCTGGCATCTTGCCTCCTTCCTAGATATCTCTCCTCCCACACTCTGGGAAGCTTCTCCATTACCACGATTAATTTGCCTTTTGTCTGGGGAACATCAAGCTGTCCAGTAAAACTTCCATAACCACAAATGGCTCTGCATCTTAAAGCACTTAAGTGAATTAATATTTTTTATGATTCATCCGGGGGTGTTGCAAGAAATACTGCACCACATATATAAGTGGAACTCTGATAAGATGTACTGCTCAGATGTCTGGCATGATTGGAGTGGAATACCCCCACCTCAAGCCTCCCCCCCCCCCCACAACAGCATCCCCCAATAAGCAGAATGAAAGCATTTATCGTGGTTGTGTACTTAGAGCTGACCTCAAAATCACATGATGCATTAGGAAAAAAGGCCATAGAGGAATATCCTGGGCAATCGTGTGGTGGCTCACAGGAGCTAGTTAGTATGCCATTAGCACAAGGATATTTAAATTATTCCCATCTGTTGAGAAGAAGGTTAGCTGAAACAACTCAGGGCACGTTCTTGCAACGGCATAGTACGGGGGACAGAGGGCCCTGAAATGCTGAGATTGTTAGCTTCCCCATTCATCATATCTTGGCTTCTAGCATTTTTATTAGTGCCATTTCTCATTCAGTATGGCCCAACCCAGCACTTAGTAGGATTAAAAATTGATTCATTTTTGTCTCTGCTTTGTTATTGCTAAATAACACAAATCTAATCTATAAATTATTCTTTTTCCACTGCTTCTCCTTCTCTTTCTTGGAAGAGGCAGGGAGGAAGGAAGGAAGGAGGGAGAGACAGGAGGAAGGAATGAGTGAGCCTTTATTGCAACTGGCACATGTTTCCAAGGCAGAATAATCTGACAGAAATGTTATATTCCATTTCCAGTGAAAATAAGATTATCTGGGGCTGGGTGACTGGGCTGTTGCTGTATTGTGGCAGGTTGATGAGCTGCTGTTTTCTTTTTTCTTTCTTCCCTCTCCCACTGTGGCAGGAACTGAATTCTAAACTGCAGTCGCTTGGCAAGGTGGAGTCTGCACCGTTGTTGACACTGACCACCCAGCTTGTTGAGGCAAAGCTGCCAGCACTTGAAGTGGAAGACACTGCAAAATACAAGCAGAAGCTAAAGGAGTGGGAGCAAGAGCGAGCCGGTCTGATCGAAAGGGAGAAAGAGCTGAAGGAAAAGGCCAAGAAACAGATGGAAGCCCGGGAAGCAGCAAAAGCATCTGCTTAATATTCCTGCTTATAAACTTTCTCATGTGGCAGAGATACTCCCGGCAGTGAACAGGAGCTGTTACGAAATCGTCCAGAAACCAAACTGCCATGTGGCTTTGACTGTATTCCAAATAAACATTTTCAAATCCATCTGACATAACAGTCTAGTAAGAGTATTTCCTCATCCCTTTGAAAGCTTAGTATTATTCTTCCCCCAAATGCCCCCGGTGGCGCAACCGATTAAACCCTTGTGCCAACAGGACTGAAGACCGACAGGTCGAAGGTTCAAATCTGAGGAGAGCACAGATGAGCTCCCTTTGTCAGCTCCAGCTCCCAGTGCGGGGACATAAGTGAAGCCTCTCACAAGGATGGTAAAACATCAAAAACATCCAGGTGTCCCCTGGGCAACGTCCTTACAAACGGCCAATTCTCTCATACCAGAAGTGACTTGCAGTTTCTCAAGTCACTCCTGACACGAAAAAAAAAATCTGTGTTGTAGATACAAAGATCTGTCATGTAATGAATGATTCATTTCTAAAATAAGCTCAATGAGACCATACAGTCAGAATGCTGTGGCCACAGTCCTTGTTTGCTGTTGTACACCCATCAGGTTACTTATAGTAATGTAAATCTTTATATACTTGCTGGGCTTTAGTCTACCACCAGAATCCTTTTGATTCGGAGAGGAACTAGTCACTCACTCATTTAACACAGCGGTTCTCAGCCTTCCTAATGCTGTGACCCCTTAATACAGTTCCTCATGTTGTGGTGACCCCCAAACATAAAATTATTTTTGTTGCTATTTCACAACTGTAGTTTTGCTACTGTTATGGATCGTAATGTAAACATCTGATAAGCAGGATGTATTTTCATTCACTGAACCAAATCTGACACAAATACTCTATACACTCAAATTTGAATACTGGCGGGGTTGGGAGGGATTGATATTATCATTTAGGAGTTATAGTTGCTGGGATTTATAGTTAACCTACAATCAAAGAGCATTCTGAACTCCACCAATGACGGAATGGAACCAAACTTGGCACACACAAAACCCATGACCAACACAAAGTACTGATAGGGTTTGGTGGGCATTGACCTTGAGTTTTGGAGTTGTCGTTCACCTACATCCAGAGAGCACTATGGACTCAACCAATGATGGCTTTGACCAAACTTAGCATGAATACTCAATATGCCCAAATGTGAACACTGGTGGAGTTTGGGAATATAGACATTGACATTTGGGAATTGTAGTTGCTGAAATTTATAGTTCATCTACAATCAAAGAGCATTCTGAGCCCCACCAATGATTGAATTGGGCCAAATTTCTGACACAGAACCCCTATGACCAACAGAAAATACTGTACTTTCTGATGGTTTTTGGCGACCCCTCTGACACACCTTCATGACCCCTCTGGGGGTCCCGACCCCCAGGTTGAGAAATGTTGATTTAACAGGTATTAATGAAGATTACCTGACCTGGTGCCCTCCAGATGTATAGGAGTGCTGCTCTGATCATTCTTGTTATCATGGCCAGCAGTTGTATTCTCTGGAATCGATAGAGTAATGCTACTCAAAAGTGGTAGTCCTTGGACAGGTGCTGGTCATTGGAAAGTTTCCAGGAAAGAAAGAAAGAATTGCGACCAGTGGACACAAACATAGTGTGCTGGTCCTTGGCACAGACTGAGCAGCACTATTATTGACCATCCCTTTGTGGGCACTATTAGGAAAGGCTGACTTGCATGCTTAAAAAGATTTAATTTCATCATTCAGAGACAGTACAGTTGAACCTGTTTTACACTGATGCAAATCATGGGTCCAGCTGGCTCAAAACACTAATCCACCTAGTTTTATCTGTCAGTATTTATCCAAACCATCTCCTTGTCTTCCAGCTTTACTACCTGGGAGCCCTCAGTGGAGATAAGAACCTAAAGCTATGTACTCTGCTGCAACCTTTCCATTCAACCAGTTTCTTTCATAGGTTGCTTCCAGGCTTTTCACAAGCAATTTATCAACTTCTAGGGAATCTGAATTCTGTCCTAAATATGCTTTTAAACTCACCTCGCAAGATAAGCCATGTGGCTCAAACTGAAAATTCCAAATCATTGAGGTATAATTGTGCTTGTGCAAATCAGTTTTGACCTTTTCTGTTTGCAGTTTGCCCCTGGCTTTGTCTGTGTTTTTCAGCTTACATACAGCCTTTGTGAACAGCTGCGTAGTAATTTTGAAGAAGTTTATTGTGGTACTTTTTTAAGCTTTAGTTTTATTTTTATGTGACAGAATCAACTTGCTTGCTGTGCTGCTCTTTATTGCAGTACATTGAAATATATAGTTTTATAATTTCAATGTCTGTAAAGATTAACTCTTGTCACCAGAAATTTCTGCAATGTAGTAGTTTATGGTTTTGTTTGTGTCACAGTGCATCAAAGTAGTTGCCAAGATTGGTCAGTGTCCAGCATATAGATGGAATTGCTTTAGGCAGCAGAAGAGGTCTCCTGCACCGCAACTACCCAGTGAAATCCTCAAACCTTCTCTGGAGGACTGGAAAAATCCTCCAGATCTTATTTTAGATCTGCAGAGTCCTGTCTTTTGTAAACAAACCCAATTCACTGCTTTCTAGTTTTGCAAACAATCATCTGATCCAGTGTATCCTTTCTGTCCCTCAAAAACCTTTACCATTTCCCTGGTCTTCTTTTATCCTGCTCTCCCCACCCATTTTTCCTTCCTTCCTTCCTTCCTTCCTTCCTTCCTTCCTTCCTTCCTTCCTTCCTTCCTTCCTTCCTTCCTTCCTTCCTTCCTTCCTTCCTTTCTCTAAAAATCTGCTTCTCTCCAGTTCTATACTATCTGCTCTCTCCATTTCTTCTTGCAAGCGTTAGGTGTCAAGTAATCACTGAAAGGGGCATTAATCATGACGCAGATGCCTTGATGCAGAGAGAGCGACAGTCATCCAACTATCTTGAATGATACCATCTTTTGGCTCCGATTTGGGGGACCGTATGTGCTCCTTAAGTAGACCTGCTGCTTACTACTTAGACAAAATAAACTTAACCCTCAGTTGGCTGCCAGCTGCTCTAGATGTCTGAGTAGCACCACTATGTAGGCCACCATGGCTAGTGCAATACCCAGGGATGTTTTTTTTTTCATTCAAGCTGGTCAGGGATAACTTGTCAATGTGGTAATGAAATGCACTTACACACATTATATGTAACTCGAATACAAGTTCTTTGTTGAATTTGTCAACTTATAAATGGTTGTAAACTTCTTGTTTCTACAGCATTTACCTAGCAGATTGATCCTTTGGGTATAATAATTATTTTACTGATAATAAGCTGCCAAATATAAACCAGCCCTTAGACTTGGTGCTTTTATAAGCCTGTACTGTGCTCCATGATTTCCAGAGAAGTCTGGATGATTTCGAACTCCCTTAAGAATGTATAGAGGTTGCTGGTTACAAACTCGAAGTTTTGTTTTTTCCAAGTTGGAAAAGTACTGTATTTGACAGGTGTGGATGCCTTCTCCCATCCACAGCATTAGTAAGCTAAGCATAACTCTTAATGTTATATGTGTAAGGTCCTGAGACAGACATCTAGACATTCACAGTGGTTCTCAATCTGTGGATACTCAGGTGTTTGGGCCTACAACTCGCAGAAATCCCAGAGTTTCCCAGCTGTTAGGATTTCTGGGAGTTGAAGGCCAAAATGTCTGGAGACCCACTGGTTGAGAACCATTGGACTAGAAGGATGGTTTGGCCCAGTAAAGATTAACACCCATAAGTTACCACATTCCATTATACAACTCCTCTGCCAATTATACACATATAAATGCTTGCACATACATTCAACTCATGTAGCATAGCATCTACAACAGAAACATGCCTGTGCCTTTAACATGTAAGGCAAGTACAGTGCACAGAAACAAGTTATATTGTATTCAATAGGGATTATTTCTTGGGCAAATTAATAGAAGAATATAGTCTTGAGTATTTCTTTTTCATGTACTATTTTCTGCATTGTGTACATTTATAAATAGCTGGGGGTAATTCTTCATTTGTTATCAGCAGGCAGAAAACCAGTGAGCAAGCTTCACAAAGAACCAACACTTTGGGTATTCAGTATTTCCTTATAGTGATTATGTTTTGTATACATGCTTTGTATCTTACCAGGCGTCAAGGAAAAATGTGTGAGTGTATTGTGAAGTATCCACACTATGCTTTGCTTTTAATCCAATGGCAGCTCTTGATTGGAGCTACAAAAGAGTTAATTTTTGTGCCATTTGAAATGCAAATTGCTGATTCAAATTCACAGCAGACACCAAATACTTTAATGAATCAGTAAGCAAATATACAACCCTCCCTTCCCTTTATTATTCACAACACTTTCAATCCAATAGAGAAGGTCCATTATTCACAAGAGGAAAATTACACATTTACTTCCCTTCATTTCAGCTCAGTGTCAGACAGTCTTTTGCTGTCCTAGAATCAAGCAACTGTCTACACAGCTGGCAAAAGAATATTAGTAAGTCCATTCACATTCAGATTAATATGAACAGGAAGGTCCAAGCTCCAGACTATAGCTGAGCAAAACAGAATGTGACTAGGGTTCTCGACTATTTGCACCACACATTGGCTTCTGTTTTAGAAGGTGTTGCATCAGTTGAAATACCTTACTCTCAACTTATCCAAGATAACTGGGGTCTTTTGTTTTTAAAGGGCAGGACAGCTGTCACAAAAGTGACCTCGTGATGCCACATTTTATTTTATTTATTTATTTATACACTTGTATACCGCTAATATCTCAGCCTAAGTTGGCGACTCATTGCGGTTTACAACAATTAAAAACAGTATTCAATTTAAAACATAAAACACATATACAATACAAATTATTATTTTCCCCAACTCTGGTGAAGACCCATGAAGAGAAATGGGTTATTGTAAATTGGTCAAGTCAGTCTTTGGAGGCTCCAGTTTAATAATTCCACCTTCAATCGCTCACAAAAGACAATGTAGTCTGTGAAGTTGCAAGGTACTCTGCAAAAAAATCAATGTCAGTAACATTATATGCATATATGTGTGTACCAGCAGCACATACATATCACGGTTTTTGTTCCAACAATATGATTGTTATTACTGTTCGACATTATTGGAGGTGATTGACAGGTGAT